CTTTCAAAAATTCATAACTCGGAAAATATTAACCTTTTTTATCGAAATTAAACCAAACAATATAAAAAAAAGTTTCCCCCATAAAAAAGTTATTTTTTTGGCATTTGTTTAAACAATCGTGTTTTAAACAATACCCGACAGGGTTACCCGCTGGCAGCCTATATCGTTGTATTTAGGAGAATCTTCCGAACAAAACTATTGCCAGAATTATAGGTAATAACGTACTAATATCGTCTTCCCAATTCGCTCACACGCATCACCTATTTTCTATTCGAATACGGTTAACGAACCTAAATTACCTACGAAATGGGTAACTCGGTGATAAAGTTTAATTAAGGGTAAAACCAGGCAATTTCGTTATTTCGCATTTTAATATTTCTTAGTATTTTACTTATTTCCGCTGTTTTATATTTGGTTAATTAACAATCACGAGTCTTTCCGTTTACAGAAGCTGAAAGTGTATTTATCTCACGTAAATATTTGTTCCTTGTAATATATACCTACATACATACCTAACTGCTTCCGAGAGTTCAGAATTTTGACACCACATTTCAGAAACTCATTCACTATATTGAGTTTTTATTTATTTACACAATGGCTAATTCAGAACCGACGTTGCATTTTTATACCTACATGATTAGACTATCAAATCGGCTTTTTTTTGTTTACAAGTCGTTCTGTAGATATTAATTATTACGGTGTTTACACAAATTGTAAAGGATTAGGTGCATAGTTTACAGGTCGCGCGTTTTTTTATAATATGCCTTGGAAATTATCTAGTAAATAAATTGCCAGAAGTACCTTCGTAACATGTCTTGTATTTCTAAACATTTCCCGCACGTGCTGACCTGCTGCGTTTGAACATATACATGTGTTCATAAATATCTGTACATACAGGTAAGGCGAATCGTTCACTTCAACATAGAAATTAGTAGAGATGTGTAAAATCGTTTGTTTAAAAGTATTTAAATATAAAATGCGAATACTTTTTTGATTTGCTATTTCAAATGTAAAATACAAAATAGATTTCCCTTTTGAATTTCAAATGCTAAACGCAAAATACGTATTTTCAAAACACTTTTTTTGTAGTAGGTACCTATTTAGTTTTTTTAGTCATTTCTTAAGTATAAAATATTTTTTACGAAAACCTTACAGGTGTTTTCTAGACTAATACTGGTGTTTGCACTATATCACTAGGTGGAAAGATTGAGTATGATTTATATTTTTCTGTTTGAAGTGATTGAGATGTAGTTTCTCTATTTTCATGTCATAGTTTCTTCAGTTCAGCAACTAATAATTCTTCTAAATGCATCCTTATTTGCCTGTCACCCGTTTCAATTGGGAAAAAGGGCACTGATGCCAAAATAGTTTGTTTAGCGTGAAAGATCAGAACCAAAATAGGGTTGCAAATAATTATATTGATGTAAAATCAACATCAATCATTTTATATCAAAATACTTACAACCCCATACTGTTTCTGATCTTTTACATATTGTAATACGAGAAAGAAATGGAATCCATAGTTTCTTAAGCTTTCAGTTCATCTAATTAGTGGTTTTTCGAATCGTTTTCTAAGAATTTTGGATGATAGGCATTTATTAGTACACCACAATGTCTTCTAGTTTTTGTAGTTGGCGTATGTCAATTCGATATTGTTTACGGGCTGTTTACTCGTAGTTCATAGAATTTCACAGTTCCTTGTTAAAGGTAGGATAAGTGGTGATTTGACAGGTGCTGATATCAATTTCGAACTTCAAAATTCCATGGACCATGACATTGAACCCAGAAAAAAGTATCGATCCAACATTTTAGATTATCAATATTCAAGGACTTTACAATTTTTTGGGTTCCTTCAGTTAAAGAATTAGAAGACATTCATGGAATGTCTCTTTGTCCCCTTTTTAAGCTTCTAATACCTTCAATGTCCAAAATGTGAGCAGCTTTCATTCGTCATTTTATACAGTTTGATCCATGATACTAGCAGAACTATTAACAGCAAAAATGCATTTTGCATTTTATAAATGAACGTTTGGAAAACTACTTTAAATAGAATACAAAATGCTTTTCTCAAAAAAGTGTTTAAATGCAAAGATAAAAATGAATATTTTTTATTTTGTATTTGCATTTTAAATACAAGTATTCCACATAAATCACATCTCTGGAAATCACACATTTCATAGTGGGCATTTTTTTCTTTTTATGTCACATGCGAAAATGCATAATTTGGTAAACGTGTCGAATATTGTTTGTGTTATTTCAACCACGTCTACTTCAGAATATCACCTACTTTTCTGAAAATTCTATCACCTGCTTTTCTGAAAACTCTCAAAATGCTTTGAACAAAGTGTAACACCAGTCAAAGGCTTTAAATTGTACGAACTTTCCTATACCACAAAAGACGATTGGATGTAATAGTAAATAGAATATCCCTGTGTTCGGTTCACAATTCGCCATTAGTGTGTATACCGTTTTATTGTCTTTTATCACGTCGATTTTCTCGTTAATTTGTGCGAAAAGAGTTATTGAACAGGTGTGGAGATGATTACCAAGTGTTGAATTTGTTAAATCTATTACAGAATATGTGGTATCATGGTGGTAGCGGTAGAACTACTTAACAGTTCGATGTGTCCCAAATTATGGCTGCAAGTCTACTTACGGACATACGATCCCAAACTTCCTGCAATTTTAAAGAGTTCAATAACTTTTAAAGGCTAAAGAGCGGCAGAGACTGTTTCGTTGCGTTCTTGGCCGCAGTGTAATTCTTGCAAAATCATTGTCGGTGAACGCAACCGCGATATTATTACTACCACCTGCGTGTTGTATGTTATATATGCATTTAAATTGCCGCTATGATTACTTACTGCATTGACTTTTCGCCAATTCCCTCCACGAAAAAAAAAAAAACTACTAGGAGAATTCGATTAATTCTCATGCTTCGCTTTTTCTCCGCCGTTCTCGCTTTTATTATTAAAGTTCCGAGTGAAAGTGTCATTTTCACTCTTGCAAATGCACCTATTCTGTTCTTTAAACAAAACGTTTGGATTGTCTGTTAATTTTTTGTTTTCATCTCATTTTTGTTCAAAAGTTTGTCTCCTTGTGGTCAAAAACAAGAAAAATTAAACATGTAACAGGTAATCGTTTTCTAATCAGTATCCGTTACGTCACTTACCGGATTAATTAAAATCATAGAAAGCGATTGGCATAAGCAATTTCAGTTCGGCTTTTGAAAGTTAACAAATTTTTATGTATCCGCACTGGAAGGATATGGCAGACAATAGTGTTGGAATTAGGACGTGCTATTGTGTCAGTATAATTACTGAAAATTTAAACAATTTCTCTCGTTGTATGTGTGTGCACAATGTACACAGGTAAAATAATAACATAGAATGACGTACTTGGAAAATTAACATACTTTTATAAATATAATTACATATAGAACGATATAACTGCTATCAACAATAATTTGTTATTCCAGACTTAATTGTTGTTTATATTAAAAACAAAAATAAGTCGACTGAGTATACCAAACGAACCGTAACCAATACAACTATTTCATGGGTGAGTGTAGGTAGAACGAATTCTGCAATTATCGCCAGATATTATTTCTAATTAATTACTGTCTCCGCTGTAAAGTATTAATACTTGCATTAAATGGAACAGTAAAAGATGCATATTACTTATCTGCATGTAGATAAGTAAATATGTGCAGCTTGCACTCTGGTGCATAATCATTTNAGTTCTAAAATGTTATACTGCAATTAGCTAGCTTCTTAATTTCATTCATTTAATGTTTATAAATTCAACTTGTCCGTTTGGTCGAATTTTATTATACCCAAAAAGGCATATGTATCTATATATAGATTAGCTCAGGATAGGAAAGAGTGGAGGTACGTGTCCAACCAGCCTTAGGACTGACGACCTTATGATGATGGCATGTATGTAACTTATTTGACACAAAATTTTAATATTGAGTAAATAATTTCTAATTGATTATATTACATTGTTTTACTTCTAAAATCAACATTTATTCGAAAAATCATCTTGTTTTAAAAAAATCCGTACATTTAGCAGCTTGTATTGACAGGCTTTCCATTAAACAACGCCCTCGGAAATGTCCCAAGCCACAGTAAGTTCCGTTCATAAAGTCGTTTAAACACTAAACCAATGAAATTTTAATTTTTGTTTGACGGTTTTTTTAGCAAGAGGGTCTAGTTGAAACCGTTGATACGAACCTATAAGAGTTTGCAAGGTGACATCGATAATCAAAACCTGATATACCAACAAGTGACATAAATTGTAACGGTTCGGTCATACCGATGCATTCTTATTTACGAGAAAAACTAAACACAAGAGCTGTATCGAAATAATAAATACTTTAGTAGGCATAGTAATTAGTAAATAATACAAATTAGGACAAGCGACCTAATTCAATTCAACTTTAATTACCAATTTTCGTTAGGTAGGTTTTTTCTTTTTCCTCTGGTATAATTATCCGGCACTTCCCAGTATCCGGTGCATGGCCGGATTTAAAAAAAGATGATGGATCAGATTCAAACCGAGTAGGTGCCTGGTCATCTCTAATAAAAATACTAAGCAATCAATAAAAAAAAATGCAAAACACGGTAGTACAAAAAGCACATAAACGAGTCAGTACATGAATTATAATTACTGGTTAGGTTAGGTTAGGTTAACTAAGAATTAGAGATGGGATGGTTATCCGGTTTGGATTCGGTACTCTTCTTAGCGTATATCCGGCACACATTTTGAATAGGACGGCATGAAATCAGCTTGACGTCGTTTAAAGTTCAAATTCTAATAATGAGATCATAAAGGCCAGATTGTTAGTATGCGATAGAGGGGAAGCCAAAACCATGCACATTTAGTCACTGTGAAAAATAGCTTAAATTTTTAGTAATACACCAATAATGTGAGAATTTTACAGTGCCGGGTACCTGGCAGAATTAACGTCAGGTACCTGGTTATCTGGTAGGTAACAGGGGCATCATTATGTTTTTTTTTCGAGCCCTGGTCAAATTATATGAAAGGGGCTATTCATAAATTACATAACGCAAAATCCATCGATTTTTGACCCCCTTCTCCCCCCATGTAAGAGAACCGTAACGCATTACTTGGTCCTTCCCCCTTCGCCACTTCGTTACGTAATATGTGAATTAAACAACTATTTTCCTTAATTTCCAATAATATTTCAATTCTAAATAAAATCTATACCTATTTGTTATGTAATACAAAAATTAACTCTCTCCTACTTCCGCGTAATGGGGCTATAACGTCCTGTTGCACCCCCTCCTCCTTCAAATTAGCATTACGTAATTTATGGATAGCTCCAAAGAGGAAAAAAGGCAACAGAGCATATTAAATCTGCTGAATAAAATTTTAGAATGAAACCTTGTAAAAAAATAAGTATGATTTTCGGGCTATGGAGATCCATAGGTAGACATCACAATTTGTGAGCTCTGGATTCTGCCATGACTATCAAACATGTAGTGACGGTCCTGTCTAGGGTTGCCACCTTTTCAGTCTTTACATAAAGTATTTCTCGACTAAAAGGTTCAAAACATATTTTTTTTTTACACCTATAACAGCCAGTATCAAATTGCTGTCGCTCTTAAATATATTAATAGCCTCTAAACATGGCAAACAAAGATTTAAGTAAACTCAAAATTCATTTTTAATTAGTTTTAATGAAACTTTACTCCTATCGTCCCGTCACTTTGCGTTCATAACAGAGAATACTCTTTCTGTAAATGCTGAAGTGGCCGGAACGGATAGCAAAAGTGACACTACTTTGAACAGATNTTTGAATATTGTTTTAGAATGACTATATAAATATTTACATGCCTAGAAATGTATAAAAATTGGCATATTTATTAACTTTGAACCCCCATAACTTTTTATTCAGGGTGAGACCGCCACGAACTTTTTATGGTACAGTGGTGGAGGAGACCTCCTCTTTCAACCCCCCCCTCCACCCCCTTCGGGGAGGGGGGCCATCATCTAGACCTTTACCATTATTATTATTATACGATTGAAAGTAGGTAATCGAGATTAAACGGGCGTTATTTGGTCTAGACAAGATCTGACTAGGTAGAGAACGATTTACGAAGTGAGATGTTCGCTTGTACTCGCCAACAGCCAACAGACAATGGCAACGGCAAACGCACTTCCCGCATATTACGTTACTACAACCTGTACGACCCAAGCAAATATTACGACAGGCTGTTCACTTTATAAGCTGAGCTATTTTGGCACGCTTCGCCGACGGCATGTGCCCGATGTTGATGACGCGACAACGCGACATACTCTATCGCCGCCGCTTTGGAAACAGCTCTTCTAATTCTAGACCGGAGAGTAAATGCGACTCCAGGTCGGTCACTCAACCAAGCCATCAATCAAAAAGGGCCGCCGTGGTTGTAATCGTCGCCGTCAGTTTGTCACTATCATCTCGATCATACTTTGTTGTACAGAATCGTTAAAAACCTTCTACATTAGGAGTTAGTCGATGTGATTAAATCTGCCGCAAACATTAACAATGACATTAGCGAGTAATTAGCAATCGCCGCACGATCGTCAATTTTATCGTTGAGATAGATGGCTCATTTTAATCGTCCGTAAAAAAGATGGCCTGTAACGTGGTCAGTTTAATGGGGGAAAGTAAAAAAAAAACGTCTACTCACCGGTCGTACTTCATTTACTTATTCGTAACTTAATATTGTCACATTCTTTATGCTCGATCTACTGACGAAATCGCTAATCGCCACGTGTACTTGAAAGGGCATTTTTGATTTTTATAAAACGTATGCGTGTTTGGTTGAATTTCTCTTAGGAATTTGGCTTTCTCTCGTTTTGGTACGTAAACATTTTATTGCTTTATAAATGTTCTCCGCTTTAAAAAGCAAAATTTTATTGCTTTTTAAAAACGTTCAAGTATTCAAGTGTGTTGATTTTGGAAGTTTAGAACTAACACTGAAGTGTATATTTCGAATAGTAAATCATCAAAATTGGAAGAAGAAGCCAAAGTAAACGCCGTCTCAAAATCGAATTATAAATTTGGCTAAATAGTTGCAATTTTCCTGAGCTATAGGGCATTTTAATGATAAGAACACAAATTTGCCATATGGTTAGCAGATGGTTTCAGCTTCATTTGTTTTGGTTAGTCTATATTCACGATTTTTAAATTTGTACGATATGTATATTCACCTTTTCCTTTACACTCTAACGTTTATTTTCATATGTCAGATCATACGATTTATCCAATGATTTAGAAACCTGTACAAACAGTCGGAAGGGCAATGCCAAAATATTCTGCAGGAATTAAGTTCAAAAACCTTCATATTGAAATCTACCTATACAATTTCACTTTTTCACATCTGAGTTTAAGTTTTTCATTTTTTCACTCTTATTACTTACTTCACCATTTAATGTTTAGTTTTATTTTAGTCCCCGATCTTCGAAGGCAAATAGGAATAAAAATTAAACATTTATTTCTTTTTTNAAAGTGACACTACTTTGAACAGATTTGGGAAATCAGGTTGTTCCGTAAATACGGCTTTCCATTTTTCTGTGCAATATTATTGATGTAAAAATACTCTGAATTTCGAATAATCGCTTACAAAATTACGATGTTTACTTAAGGCCTTAAATAAAGTATTTTTACGTACTTTATGTGTCTTGTAAAGTATAGCTTACGCACAGTCGAAATAGAGTACAATACTTTATAATAAAGTACGGGTGGCAACCCTAGTCCTGTCCGACAAAATCATTACCCTTACCATTAGCATAGTTAGCTTGTTTGTTACGTAACATTAGTTAGATTGACCACTTCGATTGAAATACTGACCTGCTTTCATGTTTAAATACCGATCGGCAAAGGATACATGGACCATATGGATTTAAATACTAACTTTGCATAATATTTAAATACTTATCAAAAAGGATTAAAATGCTGACATCAGTAAAACAGTAAGTTGAATAAAAATTCCCATTACTACACGTATACATCATAGATAAATACAGCGCAGACATGTGTTTCATTCATGCGCGTGCTATACTCTATTTTGTAGGCAGGTAACCATCGACGCCGAAACTTGTACGAATTATAATCGAACGTATAAAAAAAGGTGTATATTAAACACGGCAAGTTGCAAAGACAGAATTTCGCGTTCTTTGTCGTTTGCAAAGGCGTTTTGGCTGACCGATCTCATTAAATTAAGAACGATCGCTGAAGTAATACGAACTCTCATCGAGAGAGCTACGTGACCAACACGGTGTGTTCACGATACGTTGACCGTCTATTATTTTTGTTAACTAATAGTGACAAAAGAGAAATTCACGGCTAGAAATGTTTTTCAACCATTCCTGCTTTCTTTGATTCAAACATTTCCAAACAGTGGTAAAAAATGAGTAAATATATTATATAAAAAAGTTTCTTATAAAAAAAGACCTTGTATTTAAAGTAAATTAAGTTAGTTTATTCACCTTCTTACTAAAACGGTTGGTTGATAAATAATTAATGCTAGCGTGTCGTAAGGTAGAATTTTTGGAGTTGTTTTCTTTTATTGTACCCAAGACTTTATATTAACACGTTTGTTAAATCGAGTTTGTAATTAAATTTTGCTAAAATCTATTCGTTCACATCGTTAAGAATATTCGACAGCTGGCGCTAAAAATCTAGTTTTCCTTTTGTTCGCTGCATTCGACGTGAAGTTTCAAACTACCTGTGGGGTTGGCAAAGAAGTAGCGTCGCGACACCGACGCTGACAATAGTTCGTCACGGTGGAGGACGTCGACAAGGCTCGTTCCTCCGCCCTAAGTCTGAGACAGAACTTCGTCAGATTGGTTCGGTCGTCGACGTTTTAAAAGCCCAATCAGTGGGGGGAAAAGTCGCGTACGGACGCGGCCGGCTAAACTCAACTCCGCGCTTTGTTAGTTGCATGACGGAACTCGCGCGCCTCGAAATTGGACTTTTAGATAAGCAGTATTATTATATAGATTGGTTAGCTGATTGACATTTTAAATGAACTTTTCTACTCATCTTAATTGCAAACCGTCATATATTGGCTGATTGTACTTTTGTAGTATCGCCTTGTTCAATTTATGATAAAAGTTGTCGCGCTTCTTTTCGTGAGGTTCGTTAGCGATACCTAGTGCTCATATTATCTCTCTGAGAGTCGAGTACTCAAGTAGGTTCCGAAGCCGGTCAATCGTCAGTCAGTGGTTGTGTGGCTGTTGTCGAAGTCAGTGGGTTGTCGAAGCCTCGGCATACTCCTCGTCGCAGGCGACGACGCTACGGGCGCCGAGCGTCGTAATTGAGAGACGATGAGCGCTTTGAGCGTTCAGTTGTGTTGGTTCTTTGCCCTGCGGTTGCTACTGCCGGGTGGGCACCAGCCCGGCAGAAAGTGACAGTGAGTGCGTCAGTATGTCCCAGTCATGGTGAAGGCGCTGTTTCTGGGGCTGCTAGCTTTTACGATGTGTGCTTTTGCCAGCGCCGTACCTCCCCAGAGAGTCCATCGCTCGCTGAACCTTGCCGAAACTGACACTGGCGATAACTTATCATTGCCTGAATCTATTCCTGGGCTACCGTCTTCTTCGCCGACGTCGCCGGTCTTTCTGTCGTCCTCTAGGTCAACTTTCGAAGAAGACGATCCCGCTGCCGCTGTCAGAAGCGAACGCAGCACAAACCTCTCTTTTTCTACAGGAACCGCGCGAAGAATCCAAATGTTTATCAAGAACCGGCATCTTCAACTTTTACCTGATGGCACTGTCAACGGCACTTCCGACGATTCTAGTGTCTACAGTAAGTTTTCACAAAACCCTGCTCATCTTTGTTCAACGTATAACTTGACTATTTTATGGATTACATCCCGACACCCTTTATTATCGTTAAAATTTAATGACTTACTTAGTTACGATAGTCTTGACTGTTATGTACACTTAATTTGAATATACAAAAGCGTACTATATCAGTTAACAGTACGATTTGTTACTTAAAAAAAGCAAGCTCTTATTGCATTTGGGAAACGTTAAATTCATCTAAACCACGATGTATCATTTCGTTTTCCGTTTTCATTCACGTGAACGTGAACGATAAGCAGCTCTTGTTTGAAAAAAATCCTTATAGTTATCGCTATACTTAACCGTCGTACATCAAGAAAAGAAAAACCAGTACAAAAATGCATGATCTACTTTAATAATAATATAATAGTAATCCTGCCAATATGAGTGGAAAAAACTACTCGGATTAAATTTTTTTACGCAGTTTTGTGTGGAAGATTCTCTTAGGGTTACTAGCCGGTAATCCGGTCGAGTATTATTTAAATCACAATTGTTTAAACAAATGGCAAAAAACAACTTCTTTTGACCGGAATATTTTTCTTATTATATTCTTTGGTTTCAAGTTTTTTTTGTAAAGTTAATACTTTCTGAGTTATGAATTTTTGAAAGTCTGAATATGCATGAATATCGCTATTTTATATACTTCAAAAAGTTATTAAAAAATGTTTTTTTAGAAGCTAATATTTTATATGTACATATATGTAATAAATTGCATCAGACATTTTTTTTTTTGGTGCAATTTATTAAATACATCCATATGAAATATTAGCTTCCAAAAAAACATACTTTTTAATAACTTCTTGAAGAATATAAAATAGCGATTTTAATGTATATTCACTTTCAAAAATTCATAACTCGGAAAATATTAACCTTTTTTATCGAAATTAAACCAAACAATATAAAAAAAAGTTTCCCCCATAAAAAAGTTATTTTTTTGGCATTTGTTTAAACAATCGTGTTTTAAACAATACCCGACAGGGTTACCCGCTGGCAGCCTATATCGTTGTATTTAGGAGAATCTTCCGAACAAAACTATTGCCAGAATTATAGGTAATAACGTACTAATATCGTCTTCCCAATTCGCTCACACGCATCACCTATTTTCTATTCGAATACGGTTAACGAACCTAAATTACCTACGAAATGGGTAACTCGGTGATAAAGTTTAATTAAGGGTAAAACCAGGCAATTTCGTTATTTCGCATTTTAATATTTCTTAGTATTTTACTTATTTCCGCTGTTTTATATTTGGTTAATTAACAATCACGAGTCTTTCCGTTTACAGAAGCTGAAAGTGTATTTATCTCACGTAAATATTTGTTCCTTGTAATATATACCTACATACATACCTAACTGCTTCCGAGAGTTCAGAATTTTGACACCACATTTCAGAAACTCATTCACTATATTGAGTTTTTATTTATTTACACAATGGCTAATTCAGAACCGACGTTGCATTTTTATACCTACATGATTAGACTATCAAATCGGCTTTTTTTTGTTTACAAGTCGTTCTGTAGATATTAATTATTACGGTGTTTACACAAATTGTAAAGGATTAGGTGCATAGTTTACAGGTCGCGCGTTTTTTTATAATATGCCTTGGAAATTATCTAGTAAATAAATTGCCAGAAGTACCTTCGTAACATGTCTTGTATTTCTAAACATTTCCCGCACGTGCTGACCTGCTGCGTTTGAACATATACATGTGTTCATAAATATCTGTACATACAGGTAAGGCGAATCGTTCACTTCAACATAGAAATTAGTAGAGATGTGTAAAATCGTTTGTTTAAAAGTATTTAAATATAAAATGCGAATACTTTTTTGATTTGCTATTTCAAATGTAAAATACAAAATAGATTTCCCTTTTGAATTTCAAATGCTAAACGCAAAATACGTATTTTCAAAACACTTTTTTTGTAGTAGGTACCTATTTAGTTTTTTTAGTCATTTCTTAAGTATAAAATATTTTTTACGAAAACCTTACAGGTGTTTTCTAGACTAATACTGGTGTTTGCACTATATCACTAGGTGGAAAGATTGAGTATGATTTATATTTTTCTGTTTGAAGTGATTGAGATGTAGTTTCTCTATTTTCATGTCATAGTTTCTTCAGTTCAGCAACTAATAATTCTTCTAAATGCATCCTTATTTGCCTGTCACCCGTTTCAATTGGGAAAAAGGGCACTGATGCCAAAATAGTTTGTTTAGCGTGAAAGATCAGAACCAAAATAGGGTTGCAAATAATTATATTGATGTAAAATCAACATCAATCATTTTATATCAAAATACTTACAACCCCATACTGTTTCTGATCTTTTACATATTGTAATACGAGAAAGAAATGGAATCCATAGTTTCTTAAGCTTTCAGTTCATCTAATTAGTGGTTTTTCGAATCGTTTTCTAAGAATTTTGGATGATAGGCATTTATTAGTACACCACAATGTCTTCTAGTTTTTGTAGTTGGCGTATGTCAATTCGATATTGTTTACGGGCTGTTTACTCGTAGTTCATAGAATTTCACAGTTCCTTGTTAAAGGTAGGATAAGTGGTGATTTGACAGGTGCTGATATCAATTTCGAACTTCAAAATTCCATGGACCATGACATTGAACCCAGAAAAAAGTATCGATCCAACATTTTAGATTATCAATATTCAAGGACTTTACAATTTTTTGGGTTCCTTCAGTTAAAGAATTAGAAGACATTCATGGAATGTCTCTTTGTCCCCTTTTTAAGCTTCTAATACCTTCAATGTCCAAAATGTGAGCAGCTTTCATTCGTCATTTTATACAGTTTGATCCATGATACTAGCAGAACTATTAACAGCAAAAATGCATTTTGCATTTTATAAATGAACGTTTGGAAAACTACTTTAAATAGAATACAAAATGCTTTTCTCAAAAAAGTGTTTAAATGCAAAGATAAAAATGAATATTTTTTATTTTGTATTTGCATTTTAAATACAAGTATTCCACATAAATCACATCTCTGGAAATCACACATTTCATAGTGGGCATTTTTTTCTTTTTATGTCACATGCGAAAATGCATAATTTGGTAAACGTGTCGAATATTGTTTGTGTTATTTCAACCACGTCTACTTCAGAATATCACCTACTTTTCTGAAAATTCTATCACCTGCTTTTCTGAAAACTCTCAAAATGCTTTGAACAAAGTGTAACACCAGTCAAAGGCTTTAAATTGTACGAACTTTCCTATACCACAAAAGACGATTGGATGTAATAGTAAATAGAATATCCCTGTGTTCGGTTCACAATTCGCCATTAGTGTGTATACCGTTTTATTGTCTTTTATCACGTCGATTTTCTCGTTAATTTGTGCGAAAAGAGTTATTGAACAGGTGTGGAGATGATTACCAAGTGTTGAATTTGTTAAATCTATTACAGAATATGTGGTATCATGGTGGTAGCGGTAGAACTACTTAACAGTTCGATGTGTCCCAAATTATGGCTGCAAGTCTACTTACGGACATACGATCCCAAACTTCCTGCAATTTTAAAGAGTTCAATAACTTTTAAAGGCTAAAGAGCGGCAGAGACTGTTTCGTTGCGTTCTTGGCCGCAGTGTAATTCTTGCAAAATCATTGTCGGTGAACGCAACCGCGATATTATTACTACCACCTGCGTGTTGTATGTTATATATGCATTTAAATTGCCGCTATGATTACTTACTGCATTGACTTTTCGCCAATTCCCTCCACGAAAAAAAAAAAAACTACTAGGAGAATTCGATTAATTCTCATGCTTCGCTTTTTCTCCGCCGTTCTCGCTTTTATTATTAAAGTTCCGAGTGAAAGTGTCATTTTCACTCTTGCAAATGCACCTATTCTGTTCTTTAAACAAAACGTTTGGATTGTCTGTTAATTTTTTGTTTTCATCTCATTTTTGTTCAAAAGTTTGTCTCCTTGTGGTCAAAAACAAGAAAAATTAAACATGTAACAGGTAATCGTTTTCTAATCAGTATCCGTTACGTCACTTACCGGATTAATTAAAATCATAGAAAGCGATTGGCATAAGCAATTTCAGTTCGGCTTTTGAAAGTTAACAAATTTTTATGTATCCGCACTGGAAGGATATGGCAGACAATAGTGTTGGAATTAGGACGTGCTATTGTGTCAGTATAATTACTGAAAATTTAAACAATTTCTCTCGTTGTATGTGTGTGCACAATGTACACAGGTAAAATAATAACATAGAATGACGTACTTGGAAAATTAACATACTTTTATAAATATAATTACATATAGAACGATATAACTGCTATCAACAATAATTTGTTATTCCAGACTTAATTGTTGTTTATATTAAAAACAAAAATAAGTCGACTGAGTATACCAAACGAACCGTAACCAATACAACTATTTCATGGGTGAGTGTAGGTAGAACGAATTCTGCAATTATCGCCAGATATTATTTCTAATTAATTACTGTCTCCGCTGTAAAGTATTAATACTTGCATTAAATGGAACAGTAAAAGATGCATATTACTTATCTGCATGTAGATAAGTAAATATGTGCAGCTTGCACTCTGGTGCATAATCATTTTTATCGATTTTAGTCGATCGCGGTTGTTAATTAATGATTAATCGTAATTGCAGAAAGGCTTATTTATTAGGTAGATACATCCATAATATGGGCAAGTAGAAATTAAATACATATGCACACCTTCGTAATAAAGATGTCATTAATAAGAATTATTTGTTATCGACCCATATATTTAACAAATCATCAGCTACAATTATCACCATTTTAACGGAATGTTAGATATTTGTACCTATTACCTATGTAATATTTATGAGATGCTCGAGGATCATTTTTCAAAGTACTCTATGCATGTATTTATCTACTTTTATTTCATCTTGTAAAGAGATCTTAGTGACAACTGATGATTATCTTATCAAAGGCCATTTCGTTTTACTTAAGAGATCATTTGTAA